TTATCAAAATATGCTATTTTTTTTAGAAGGACCTGTACATGGAAAAAATGGGTAAAATTAGAAATGTCGCCCCTTTGGAAAAATAAAAAAGGATCAGTGACCCGGAGTAATATTTGCCTCCACTGACATTCCCAGCAAACCTGGTGTGTGTCAGTGTTTACACTGCAAATAATTTAAAGAATTATAAGTTACTGGAAGCGCTGGTCCAATCTATGAAGGGCTGGGTGGATGATTTGAACATTTTTAAATCCCCGGATTGAGAATATGTTGTGGTTTGAACAAAGTTCTTGGCTCCTTAATTTTACATAAATGATTAATGTACATTATTTTAGAATCAATCAACCTTCTCTATGTGATCTTAAGATCAACATCATCAGGCCAAGATTCTGCGGTCTACACTCATCTCCAGGCCAGCGGTCACTCTTTCAAGGATGAAGATGTTCACATCCTGGACAGAGAGGAACGATGGTTTGAGAGAGGAGTAAAGGAGGCCATCTTTGTGAAAAGAAATCGTCCATCGTTAAACAGGGGTGGAGGCCCCGGGTTCAACTGTCCCCCTCTTACAATGCTGTGATTGCTAGTATCACTCAGCCCTCTGTGAACAGTAAACAGCCATCAGTGTGTTAATGATCCATCGTTAGGCTGATGGTCCTTCTTGAGCATGTGATCAGCTGGTTTTGGTTGTCAGCATCAAACTGGTTGATCCACTCTGAGAAGGTGCTATTTAAGAGACTGAGCTGAAAACAGCACCTCAGACTGAGGAAGTCTCTTGGATGAGAGACGAAACGTTTCTATATTTTTTTGCTTTGTTTTGTTTTTTTGTTTTTTTTTGAATGTCCAGAGGACCAGATTGAACTTTTTTGGATACAACATGCGATGTGAATAACAATAAAGACCCTTGACCTTGACTCCCACACTGTCTTTAATATCAAAGCCTCTGTCAGCTAACACAACGTCTCCAGGTAATAATCTGGAGAGAAGGCCACAGCTTTCTGTTATGAGCTTGTCTGATGCACATCCAATTTTAACCTACTTAGATTAAAAAAAAGTCAGCAAGAAAGCTTATTTTCGACAGTTAATATGGAGGACTGTAAAAATGGTGGATCCGGCCCCATCCTATCCCATCAGCCGCTGCGCCGCGGACAAGTGACGTCACGCTATAAAGCTCTCTTGGGAGCTGTCGCTCGGTGACTCTGTGCTGTTAGCTTGGGGATGTCTGGGCCTCTTGGGTGTGCACCCTCCCTTGCATGGCGTACTCTTGTTGTGGGTGTTGCTGTGGGTGGACTGGTCGGTTCATTTGTGGGGGTGGGGGTGCGCTCTTGGTCACTGTGGTACATTGTCTGTGGCTGTTCGGGCACTCCTGGCTGGTTATCGTTGTTGGGATTTGGTGGCTTCTTTTGTCGGGGGGCTGGGTGTTGGACTGAGGATTGGGTTGGGGGGTCTGGATGATTTTGGGGGGGTTGGGTCCCTGGACCCGGTCCTGGTCGGTCCTCAGGGGCTATGTGCCGGTCCGTGGCCTTGGTCCCTGGTGGTGCGGCTGCCACCTGCTCCTGGGTGGATGTATTGGAGTCTCCCTCACTTGGTAGATCTCGAGAAATGGGGGTGCTTGTTGGAGTCAGTGGGGGAGCTGGCCTCCTGGGAGGGCATTGCCAGCTCAGTTCTTCCTCCCCATCCTGACACCTTCCTTTGCCCGCTCCATCACACCACCATTCAAACAGGTCCTTGGGGTTCAGGTGCACTACTGAACTGCGGGGAGGATCCTCCATCTCCATGGTCCCGTGGAGACCTGTGCCCCAATTTTATTATACAACTTAGACACTCACTTATAACATTCTCACGACATACTCATATATAGGGTCTGGGGTGGGCACGCGGTGGCATACAAGTGATGGGATGTGTAATCATTTTCAACTCCAGGACCTGTGCCTACTTTCAAATGCAGCATGTAGACATTTAGGGCTTTGGGCAAGGTTTGCGGGGGGGGGGGGGGGGGGGGGGGGGTGGGGGTTGAATGGGCACTGTCTGCTCTCTGGTGAGGGGGGTCTGGGCCAGTCGCCGCCTCATCCCCCATTTTATATGTACTATATAACAACATGCATCAACACCTTATTTGAGTGGGAGGAGGGAGGAATGGGGTCTTCTTGTTATTTATGTATTTTTATATATATATACATTTTCCCTCACACCCCTGTTCTCTGTTTGACATTTGGGGTCGGGGGCAGGGAAGGTGTAGGCTGCCTGGTTGGGGTCTGGGCTGTGGGTGGGCTTTGGGCCTGGGGGTGCTCCGGTTCTTCCTGGGTTGTTCAGATTTTTTGACCAAGGTTCCTAGTTGCAATGGTTGGCTGGCCCTTTGGCCGGGGTGGCTGCCGGGTTACGGCAGGGGGTCAGCTGTGGTTGTGTGTGTGTGGTCGTTGGTGGTGTATGGCAGCAATTGGGGGTGTGGCTTTGCTTTGACGGGGCACTGGCTGGTCGGCCTGGTGTGACATTTGCGGTGGGGTGTGCTGTATGTATGGGGGGTACAATGGCGGTTTGCCAGGGCGTCTCTGGGCCTGTGGTGTGAGGTTGGTGGGGTGCCTGGTCCTTGGTGCACTGGGCTGGCCTTCCTCAGCTGCTTCTCCCTGCTACTTTGGCCCCCGGCCTGGGGCCAGCTTTCGGTCACTGTCGGGTGGGTGGGGCGCCTGGACAGCCGCTTTGTCAGGCTGTCTGTGTGTGCCTGTTTATGTGTCAGGTTGGGTTTTGGGTGGTCCCCTCTCTTAGATCATTTTGGGCTCCCCATTTAATGTGAGGTCTACTTCCCCCTGTCGCACTTCCCTCCGGTGGCAGGCCCCCCTGCCACCAGCGCGTTGGTGGATCTTGGCATCTGGGGCTGGGTGCTTGGGTGTATGCTGGCCCGCCCTGGTGGCTGCTTGCCGGGGCCTGGGTGCCCTAGCTCTGTCGGGCCTCTGTTGGGGGGTGGTATGACCTCGGGGCTCGTCACTGCAGTCTCCTGGGGCTTTTGAATTGTGGCTGCTGGGGGTCGCCCAGGGCTCTCCTCTGCTTCTCTCTGGGGGTGGGGTGGGGGGTGGGGTGGGGCTGCAGTTGTCCCTATTCGGGGACTCCTGGGGCTCTGGGCTTGGGGGCCTCTGTGTGTCTGTGGCTCCGGTCTTCCCTGTGTCGCCATCATGTCCTGTGGTGATGGTTCTGTGGGTCCCCACACCCACTATTGAACATTCTTATGGAGAAACCTTATAGTGACAAGCATGCTTACACAGGTGTTTAGATCCAGGTGTTTATCAGATACACACTCAGTTGAGTTGTGGTGGCCAACTAAATACATCTTGTATTACCATGTATCGTATACAATGCTTTCTAATGATGTTATAAGTATCATTATATATGTTGTTTGTTGTTGTGGTTTCTCGGTTTTGTCTTTTTTATTTCTGCAATTCTAGAGGCAGACTTCAGTGATGTTCAGCAGCTTGTCTGAAGACCTGCCAGTCTGTGCATGCAAAACAGTCTTTCAGTATGGAGTCACTATTCTGCATCCAAGATTTAACATTATTTTCTATTGGTCTGGAACATCTCAGCGGGGTGGAGGTAAGCAGGAGCCAGGAAGATGGAGATATGATCAGAGAGTCCTAGGTGGGGGCGGGATGCGACTTTGTATTCATCTCGTACATTCGTGTAAACACGGTCCATCGAGTTCTTCCACATGTTGGTATGGCCTCATGCTGGTAAAGTCTTGGCAGGCAGTCCTTTAGATTTACATGATTAAAGTCACCAGCCACCATGTGAAAAACCTCAGGGTGCTTGCTCTGCAGTAAGTTAAAATTATCATGAAGCTCCTGCAGAGCGTCTGTAGCATTTGCATCCGGGGCTATGTAAACAGCTGTTATGAACACCGCCGTGTACTCGCAGGGTAGATAATGTGGTCGACATTTCACTGTTAGCTGCTCCAAAGCCTTGGAGCAAGAGCACTTCATCAGCATACAGTTTGTGCACCAACTTTTACACACATAAATACATACTCCGCTTCCCCCCCTCCCCCCACACACAATTTTCTTGTTAGCTCGCTGTAGCGGTCCATTCAGGATAAGAGTCTGTCATCCGATGCGGAGTCTGGCATGTCGCTGTTAAGCCATGATTCTGTGAGACAAAGCACTGCACATTTCCTCATCTCCTCTGAGGCACCCACCCTCAGATGAAGCAAATCCATCTTGTTGTCCAAAGAGCGGTCATTCTACAGAAAGAGAGAGGGTATAGGTAGTTTGTCAGCCTTACTGTTAGCTTTTAGCCTTTACAACAACCCTTTCCCAGCAACCTCGCTTCTTAAGCCGGGAGCTGCGCGCCTCCTCTTTCCATTAGAGTGCCTCTGCTGAAGCTTCCAGGTAGATGACTAGGATCTGCGTTCTGCCAAGCATAGATTTGAGATTGTTGCTGATCGCTACTGTATTTCGTGGCAAATCCGCTCTTATTCTTATCAGTTTGGTTTGGCTATAATTCACGTGCATAAAGTGTGCGGAGTCAGGCTTAGAGTCAATTTCAAAACTCCTAAAAACTGCGATTGCATCAGGAGCCTGTGAAGCTGTTGCTCCCAAGAATGTGACCATCTTGGCATCAAGAAGTTGAAGTCATCCCAACTGCTACAGCAGGTTCACTGTGGACCAGGGCTGAAACAGTATCTCTGGGCTGTGTGGGCAGGGGCATCGCTGTCTTACAGTTTTTTGATTCAGAGGCCATTTTACAGCTCTGTTGGCACAATCTTGCAACGACACAAATTTCAGAAAAAAAGTCCACCGCAGAGGCAGTGGGGATATAAATATAAAATAAAAGACAGTTTTTCAGACGGGTCTGACGGGAGTCCAGCAAAATGCTGCTAACCCTATGCTGCCATCTTCTGAACTTTGTGTTATATTTATTTTCCAAGTTGCTAAAATGTTAAGTTGTTAAGATGTTAAGATGTCACATTGTTAAGATGACAATTAGTGTTCCTTTTTTGTACATATCTGCTTGTGTTTCAGGTGGTAATAATGGAGGTTCAGGGTCTGAAGTCTTTGGCTCCCAATAGAATTGTTTACTGTACGATGGAGGTTGAGGGAGGCCATAAACTGCAGACGGACCAAGCTGAAGCCTCCAAACCAATGTGAGTGTTTAACACAAGAATGTTTTCACCAGCATACAGTGACTTCCATCCTGAAATATACTAATACTATTTTATTAGCATTAAACATTTAGATTCTCTTTAAAAAGTAAGCATACATAGGCAAGACTTTGTTTATAGAAAGATCTCATGTTTGAAATGTCCTGTGATCAAAACAAATTGTTTTGCAATCTTTGCATGGCATCCACTGCACAGATTTAAAAATGTGGCTGAGAGCAGTGAAGGCACAGAGAGAGAAATCATGACATTCTATGCTCTTTTTTAGTGTTTGGAGTTTAGAAACATTGTTTAGAATTTTGCAAGATTGTGGGAAGGGCTTTAAAAACACCTCAATAGGAGGAACTGCTAAAACCAGGCCCAGGAGTTGCTACAACCAGGCTCAGGGGCTGTTACCACTAGGCCCAGGAGCAGCTGTGGCGGCCAGGCTCAGGAACTGCTGTCTCCAGGCCTAGGAGCTGCTACAACCTGGCCCAGAACAGCTTTTTCTTCAACATACAGCGCCTTGCGAAAATATTCGTCCCCCTTGAACTTTTCAACCTTTTGCCACATTTCAGGCTTCAAACATAAAGATATAAAATTAAAACTTTTTGTGAAGAATCAACAACAAGTGGGACACAATCGTGAAGTGGAATGAAATTTATTGGATGTGTCAAACTTTTTTAACAAATAAAAAACTGAAAAGTGGGGCGTGCAATATTATTGGGCCTCTTTACTTTCAGTGCAGCAAACTCAGTCCAGAAGTTCCGTGAGGATCTATGAATGATCCAACGGTGTCCCAAATGATTGATTTTGATAAATAGAATCCACCTGTGTGTAATCAAGTCTCTGTATAAATGCACCTGCTCTGTGATAGTCTCAGGGTTCTGTTCAATGCACAGAGAGCATCATGAAGACCAAGGAACACACCAGGCAGGTCCGAGATACTGTTGTGGAGAAGTTTAAAGCCGGATTTGGATACAAAAAGATTTCCCAAGCTTTAAACTTCACCAGACTCACGTGGAGGTGGCATAAGGGGATTATGTGTAGGAGGTACAGCAAAATCCTTCTGAGGTGGTGATGGTTGACCTGGACTATGACCCAGTTCGTCTTTGAGTTCCAGACATCTTTGCCCCTCGTCAGAGATTTTATTTGTGGCTGCGGCAAGTTTTGCCTCACAGGCTGTTAAGCGTTCATGTGATGTATGACACTCACTTTGTAAACGCACACCTTGTTGGACTAACGCCGCTTTTTCCAATATGCACTCGTCCAGAGCTTTTGATGTTAGCTGCAACCGTTGTTTCAGAACATCATTGTCTGAACACAGGGCTTGGTACTTAATCCCTCCTTCACGTAGCTTTTCCTCATATGAGTTTGCTTGTAACAACAGCTGAGCTTGTGAGAGCTCTTTTTCACGTTTCACTTTATCCTCCCAGTTCTCCTTATCAAATTGAAACTGTGCCATGAGTTTTAGATACACCTCACGTGTTGTTTCGCGGTCCTCTGTCTCGCGTTTCAACCTTATATCAAGGGCTTCTGCCCTGTTGGCCTCAATGTAAAATTGAGCTTTCAGCAAGAGTGCTAGTTTAGCTAGTTGTTCATAGCCTGACTTTTTTATGGCTGCAGAAGTTACACTGTCTGCAACTTCCTTCAGCTCGTCCAATAACTCTGTTGAGGTCATGCTGTCCACCTGTTCACCATATGGATATAAGGAATCTGTTAGCATCTTCAGGGCTGTCTCCAGCCAGTCCTTTTTTATCACATGGAGCAACATTAGCTTCTGTTAAATCTGCCATGGTGTATTTACTGTTCAGCAAATCCTATCTGGTTAAACTGTCGCAATCTTAGAGTTTTTCAACAGGTAAATGTTTGTATTTAAGTGAGCAGTGAGTTTCACACACCTCTGTGGTTCCATCAACAGTACTGTTATAAGTCAATTTTTCAATAAATGGGCACCTGTGTTTAGGCTTTATCCCATTAATATTGTAAGTAAATGCTTCCTGTGGCAGTGTTACTTAATATGAGCTTAATTCTAACAGATACAAGAGCCAGGCTATTTCAGTGTTTATTTACTCCAATGCGCTTAAAATTAAATAAACCTGCAATATTTTCTAAGAAGACTTACAGCAACTTTGTAGTTGTAAACGCCCTCAAGCAGTTTAATTTACCAGAATTTGCTCTTTAAACAGTACCCATAAACCAGGCGTGATTAACAAAAAAAATTTTTAAATGAAAAGCGAGTGCGCAGCTTTCTTTCTGGAAAACTGTTATACTCTTTTTCAACAGCAGGTGGCGGTGTAAGCTTACTTTTACCGGTAGGAGTCGCTGACGTCTTCCTATGAACCGTCCTGTTGACATCCGGTTGTTAGCCGTCAGCTACGATGTAGCAACGGTCGAACACGGTTCAAATCAGCATTTATGGACGGATTTAAAGCTTTACGTGGCGTTGCACGCTATTTATGCATAGACTCATGAGTTTAGGAACGAATGTCAGAGCTTTATTCAGCATTTTTGAACACAAAGGAAGACTCAGTTAAAACGAGCTTCATTTCCGGGGTCATGTGACTTTACAGACACGTGAACATCGGGGGTGGGCTTTTCGCACTGACACCAGAGTGTAATCCAGGTTACAATAATCCACACTTTTAATCCAGGTTACAATAATCCACACTTTTAATCCAGGTTACAATAATTCACACTTTTAATCCAGGTTACAATAATCCACACTTTTAATCCAGGTTACTCTCTTCCCTCAAGGACACTTTTTACAAAGTATCTAAATATTCTGATGCATGCTCAATAATCCAGGTAGAAAAATCCAAAAAAGTTCAACCTGGTCCTCTGGACATTCAAAAAAACAAAAAACAAAACAAAGCAAAAAAAATCTAGAAACGTTTCGTCTCTCATCCAAGAGACTTCCTCAGTCTGAGGTGCTGTTTTCAGCTAAATATTGTGCAGGTATAAAGACACATTTGTATATATTTTTGTGTACATTTATTTTTTTAAGCTATTTGACTACCTTTTATTTTTATTATTCAATATTTTACTAACACAATAGTCAAATAGCAACCTGTTTATTGTGTGAATTGCTATGTCAGTCAAATGTTCAATTTTGGAATAAAGGGGTGGAAATTAAAACTTTTTTTTTTTTCCGATTCATTGATTAATCGAAAAAATAATTGGCTGATGAATCAATTATTGAAATAATCGTTAGTTGCAGCCCTAATTGAATGATTGTTCCATATTTAATCTACTGTATTGAAATTTAGGGAAAATCATGCAAAACAATTACAAATCCTATTTTTATTTTACAAAAAAAGAGCTATAAGAATTATTAGTAGGAAGTGCTGTGGTCACCCAACAAATATATTATTTCATCAATTGAAATTATTAAAATTTTATGATTTGGTTGAATATTGTATTTTGCAAGTCATGTATAAAGCTCATAAAAAATATTACCTCTAAATATTCAATTAAAATTGATATAAAAGAGAGTCATTATAACCTTAAGGGAATGAAATGTTTGTAAAACCTCCAGTTAGAACAAGTGTGAAGGAGCTGTGTTGTAATTCAGGGAACAGGATGTGGAACTGTCTTGATATCACCATAAACATTTCTAAAACAATGTTTATGTTTAAAAAGATGATCAAGTTAAAACTGTTAGGAAAGTATGATACCATGTGAAGAATGCCTGATGTTTTTGTTTCGCTTTGGGGATTTTTCAAGCCTGAGTTGTTGTTTGTTTATTTCAATTCAATTCAATTCAGTTTATTTCTAAAGCACCAAATCACAACAAAGTTGTCTCAGGGACTTTACAGGAACATTCACATAAAAGCCAGTTAGTAAAGTTCTCTATCTAAGGAATCCAGCAGACAAGTTGAGTCCTGGCTTCGTTGCAGTCTCCCATCTTGAGCAAGCACAGTGGAGACAGTGGAAAGAAAAACTCCCTTTAACAGGAAGAAACCTCCAGCAGAACCAGGATCAGGACAAGAGACCATCTGCTTTGACCGGCTGGTTTTTAATTTTAGTTAGTAATAAAGGACAGATACAAGAATTTTCGTCTTCTTTCTGCAGTCTTTTCATTCAGTTTTTGTTTCTTTTTGATTAATTTGTTTTGTTTCTTTTGTTTCTTTTAAATGAATGAATAAATCAATAAATCAAAAAATAAATAAATAAAATGTACATAAGTGGTGATTTTAGCCTCCTTTTGGGGGGTGCTCAAGCACCCCTAAATTTTAACTTAGCACCCCTGAAAAATAAAGCAACCATCATTAGGATTTTGTAGGGAAACTCAGTTCTCAAACATTAGATTCACTAAAATATTGAATAAATTTGGAATAAATATGGACTACATGATGACTGTCGTAAATGGGCCAATAAAATGTATCTATTTTTTTGTATGAGTCGGAGCCTCGACGCCTCCTGTCAATCGGTCCAGTAATCTTGTCAGCAGTTGACCAATTAGCGATCTTAATTTGTGAAGTGAAACACCCCTTCCCTGCTGGAGCTCCGTCCCTTTTTCCTCTGACAAACATTGCTTTACGAACACTTTGTGTTCAGAGGAATTTCCTGAAAAATCTTAAAAATTGTTAAACTTGTCAGTGGGGAACATGTAATTCAGACATGTGTTATCAAGAGCGTTTAAATGGTAGAATACAGTTTATTCCATTTCAAAAACTAAATGGAGTTTGGAAATATGTAAATGATGGTAAAGCCCTGCAGCCATCAGGGCAGGTGAGCAGCTGATTCCAACAGTTATAAACAAGAACTACCACATGTTCATCTGTACAAAGGTAACTGCAGGTAAATCCTCAATTTTCTGTCATAATTGCACTTAATGGTTAAATTAAAGGTTAATGTTTATATAATAATGATAATAATAATAATTCATTTTATTTGTATAGCACTTTTCTTAATACTCAAAGACGCTTTACATGAGTTAAAAAACAAATAAAATCAACAATGCATAACACATAAAAACACAGTAAAACATTTAAAAAGGACAA